TCTTTCCCTGATGTGTCTTTCTCCACGCAGAGGAAAAGAAACAAAACACTGAGTTCTCATCCCTCCCTTTCACGTGATAAAGGCAGAAATAAGATGAATCCTCTCTCCCGCCTTTCCTTCTGTCCTTTCTCCTCTAGCACCTCCTCCCCTGTTTTGGAAGTTTCTGGTCCCCTGTAGTGTGAAAGGAGGAGGTGCTCCCTCTGCCTGACTCCGCCTTCCCTTCTCACATCCTCTCAGCCCACTCTGCTCTCTCCATGCGTCACTGACTAGGCCAGTAGCCCCCATGGCTCTTCCTGGCCCAGAGAACCCCTGCATCACCCTTACATCACCTTTCAGTCCCCCTTCACCCGGCACTTCGAGAGCAAGGGCTTAGCACTGCCAATTGGCGTAGACAGTAGAAGATGGCTTTAAATACATACATTAAACAATCATGCTTTTTAACAAAATTTTATTAGGATTAAGTCAAATTAGAAAACTTCCTGCTTTGCCATTTGCTATATTTACCTGGAATGACCATGTTATACTTAGCTGAGTAGAAAATAATTTGTGCCCCTGGATTCTACTGTTTGGAAAGCAAGAGAATCTGCATAGTGGCGTGCCCGGCACCACCATGGTTCATGTCTAAAGCCAAATAACTGGTCAGCAAAGCCTATGTTACTTCCAAGCTTTGGGCCCCAGGAAGATATCATTCCTACCTACCTCCAGGCACAGACTCATCAGAGCCTGGGCACCTGTGACTGGGGTCTGCTTTTTTAGGAGTCTGATATTAACATTTACATTTCAAGAGAAGCTGTGTTTGAGGTATCTTTATGGCTTAAAAGTTGCGCAGCTAAATTAAAAGCTATTGCGTTGGTCTCCCCACCATGGGCCATGAGCCGTGCCTTGTAAAAATGCTCCTGATGCTGCGTCCTTGTCTCCTCTGTGTGGTCTCTGCGCATCCTCAGCCCCAATCCTCTCGCTCCTGCCCCTGCACTGCTGTTGGGCTGTGAGAGTTGGAATTGGAGGACAGGTCAGGGTTCCTGTCCCGAATCCTGCTGCATGGAGAGGAACCTGTGCTAAGGAATCTCATCACTCAGCAGACAGAGGGACCTGCCATGGAGCCAGGAAGTGACTCAGATACAAGCAAGGACAGGAAGGCTGAAACATGGTACCGAGAAGAGGACCCCGCTGTCCCTGGAAGGGGTCCTACCCAGGTGAAGTGTGGCACTGCATTTAGTGCAGAGTGCAACAAAGCTGTCACCAACAGCTTCAAGCAACGGGGGGAGGAACTTGAAGTGAATGCGGAGAACAGCAGGTCCCCAGGCGGCCTGGGCTCTGTGAGGCCGTCAACAGTGGTATCAAGCAAGCATTTGTGTGGGCATATATCCGTGGGTCATTTGGAGCGAGTGGGATTCTAGGTTCTAAACATGTAAAACGTCTCACTTCCTGAAGAACTGGGCATTCCCTCCAGCTTTGGAGCCACACATTTAAGCTCAGAAACTCTTTTTCTGTTGTTTTTTTTTTTTTTTTTTTTT